CTCCTAATGAATGATTCATGTTCTGGACGTTGAAAGCTAGGGTTTGGAAACCTTCTTTCAGCTCCGGGATCACATCTCCGCCTCCTTCCCAGCTGAACTCAAGAAGCAAAGATGGGGGTGGGGTGCTAGGAGTCGCGGACTGGAGATGGGGGTGAGGGGCAGGGCAACTTGAGGGCAGCGTGTTTCGACACGGAAAAGACAGGAAATGAATGCAAAATAGGTGTTAATGAGCTGCTGTTTTATTGTTCTTGAGTCTGTACAGAGGCAGCAATCCTTAGGTGGGGGCTGTGACATTCAATACTCCCTTCCCCAAGCACACATCCTTCCAGCCTCAGCTTCCAAAGTTCCCTGTGTTGGCTGCAACTGTGGAAATAGTGAAGCTAGCACGAGCAGAGTCAGTCTGGAACAAACAGGTATGTACTTGCTAGCAAGGGGGCCCACAAGCCTGACTGTAGAAGTCCAAAAGGCTGCCGAACCCCATCACCACACCACACACCTCGATGTCTTGTGGAATAAAGTAGGGCCTGTAATAAGGAAGCAGCATACGAAAAGGTGTGCCCCGAAGATTTAAAATCCCATGATCCTCTTTTCTTCACCCCACCAGTCTTCGGAGAGGCCTTATTCTGTTCTTTAATACCTCGAGGTATGGGAACAGCAGACTACAGAGGAAGCAATGGTCAGAACTGGGAGAAATCAGAGAAATAAATCGGGTGATTTGGATCATCACCCAACTGGAAATGCAAAGGGCTAGCAACCGAGGGTTAGGTAACAGGAAGACTCCCCACCTGCAGCACAAACCCAAATGTCCACTGGATGGAAAGGGATAGAGAAGCAAAAAGCTGTATCAGATTTTTCCATTTTCAGACCCCTGTTTTGGTTACAGGTTTGTTCCAGGAGCAAGGACTGCTGGGAGGGGCAGCCGGGGGAGGGAGGTGGGGCTGAGTGACTCACGCGATGAATCACAGATCCAGTTATAAACACCGAAAGAGGCCAAGGTCCTTCCCACCCCACTCCTTAGACAGCTTCCATCACTTCTGCTGCCCCAACCCGCGTAGCCAATGGAGGGAGGGGGCGCAGGAATTTTACATAGAAGCATGATAATCAGCTTAAGAACAGGGGGCAATCACCCTAATTTGCAACTGGATATCTGCAAAATATTATTAAAAGGGACAGAGTGCCTCTGACTCATTGAATCTGCAGTGGGAGATGGAAAGATGAAAATTTTAAGACTCTGGGGTGTACGTGTTTCTAAGCCAGAAAATGGCTTCCAATTCTGTTCTCACGTATGGCTATATGGTGGGTATTGCCCCCTTGGAAAAAGAGGGCACAGTCCAGAGATGTCTGAGTAACTCACAGACAATTATTTCCCAATGCTCCATTACTGAAGGGAAAACAAAGTGCCTGGGAAGTTGGGCATGCGACTGAAGAAAGAGAGCCGGATCTCAGAGAATCCGCTCCATTTTCTGGGCTCAGGTTCACCTCCCAAGTGTACAGGTTCACCTCCCAAGTGTACAATATAAAGTCATGGTAATTCTTGCTTTATTGGTCTGTGGACTGTGGAAGCCTATCGTGAGGGAAGGTACTTCTATTTTAAGGCACGGCAGGGAGCTTAACACCACCCCCCACTCCTAGAAATTGCATCTTAAAAACTAAATAAAAAGACATAATTTATATTATTTATAAAACACAGTATGAGGAAAATCTTTTGCATTCTCAATTAAACCAGCATGAGTTAAGAGGAGGGATTTGGAGGCCAGGCCTCTAGTGTATTTGCTGTAAGTTGGGGACAGGGCAGAGAATGCAGGGTGGAGGGAGTGTAACCATGTTAAGTGGAAAGGAGAAAAATAAGAACCCTGAATATCTCCTCTCTCCATCACACTTCAGTAGGACCCCAAATGCCCTGCATTAACATGAGTAATTGCACTTAAATGTAAAGCCTGAGAGATGAGGCCATGCCTCACCTAGGGATACAGGGACTGCCTCCCTGTCACTCACATGACCCTCGTTGGCGGTTTTACTCATTTGAATGCTCCCCACATAGCCCTCCCTCACTTGTCCTCACCACAGTGATTGCATGGGCTTGTCTATTCCAAAATACAAGCTGATCTTCACTATCCCTTATTTAAAAAAAAAAAAAAAAAAAAAAAAAAACCAAAACGTTGTCTCAGAGTACCTCATCCTTAGAATGGAGAGGCCTTTTGGTGCCTTAATAGTCACCCTCCCAAATAAAACTAATTTAATAAAAAGTTAAAGGGCCTACGACATATTTTCCCACATGATCTTAGGATTCCCTTCCCTGGGAACTTCCTTTTATTTTTGCTTTGAAAAGGCAAACATTAAGATTGGGCGACATATAAATACAAACAAACATGATACAAGGTTTCTGTGTCTCTTCATTTGTCCTCAGTTTTTTTTGTTTGTTTTTGTTTTTTTAAAAACAAGAGAGTAGTAAATACAATCGAGTAACAAATCAAGTCCAAACACAGCGTTCAGTGGAGAGCAACCTCCCTGATTTTATTCTATAGGAAACCCCCTCCCTGCCCAGCGTCTCCTTCCTACCCAGCTAGGCAGGCATCCATGTAGGCTAAGGGAGAACAGAACGATTGGGCAGTGCAGACCACACACCAGGGAGTCTGCAGTGTCAGGAAGGGAGGGGGCTCATCTGGTGCGGGTTTCACCAGTGTCATTCCAACTCCAGAAACTGGGACAAGTCTAAGGTGATGAGAACAAGGCACAAGGCATTCATTCACCTTGGGAGAAAAACTGAAGGAGTGCTTAAAACACATGAATCATGATAAATACTATCTTGATGCAATATTTTTTAAAAATCAAAAAATGAAAAAAAAGAACAAACTTTATGAACATAGCAAAATGTAAATAGACAGGATTTGTCCTCATACTTGTTCAATTTGGGGCTCACTTCTTTCACCTTAATACCATTCCTGTTTTATCCCAAGATTTTGATGTTGTTGGTCACTCTGGGTTTTTTATATGATGTTTGTATCTTGGTGGTATGATCCCAGCACTTGGGAAGCTGAAGCAAGATGGTCATACATTTGAGGCCAGCCTAGGTTACAGAATAGGACCCAACTAAGAAAAACAAAAACAAAAAAAAGCCTTCAATTTCTGGATAGACCTTTAAATTAGACACCTGCCAGAAACACTTGTCTCATATTAAGTTCCAGCCTAAAGAAACCTGGGTGTGGTGACTCACACTTAGATCCCACAATTCAAAAGACTAAGGCAGGAGGGTGGCTATAAGTTGGAGGCTAGCCTGGGCTATATAGCAAGTACCAGGCTGGCCAGCCAGGGCTTCACAGCAAAGAAACAAACAAAAAATTGTCTACAAATAATGATGGGAAATCACAAAATCAACAGACTGGCAGATATGAAGTGCATTACTTTCAATGAGGAATTCTTAACTAGCTTTGTTACCAAGGGGAGGTGTGTGACCATTTTCCTGACTAGGCAGAAGAAACATGCAGACAGGAGTCCCCCAATCACACGAGCTCGAGCACACACACACACACACACACACACACACACACACACACACACACACACACACCACACACACACACATACACACAGAGTGCCATTTGTGACTTAGATCAAATGTGGGGATCACATTCCATTAGTAGGTGATGACATACCCCAGCAAAGAAAACAGCACACAGACAGAAATGCCCCAGTTAACACTCTGAACAAGTAAGCACACTCACACCCTTCTTCATATGCAGCCACAAGTACACACAATTGCATAGATGATTTTCCCCCCAGGACAAAGGACAATTGGTGAAGGACAGTCCTCTGGTTAAAGCTCTTAGAAATGGCTCTGGTCAGAGCATAAGCTGTCCAGACTTGTGCTTTGTGCAAACTGCAAGGGAGCTCTCAGCACTGGGGTCACTCCCACCCCTCTGGAGAACAGGGTTGGCTCAGGAAAAGGGAGGAATTCCAAGGCAGATCAGCCCCCTGGGACTAATCTGGGCCTGTGGCTATGGTTCACTAAAATATATTTCTCTAGCTATCTTTATAAATGGCCCCTAGCCCCATCCCATGCTTCAACACCAGCCCTAATATCAAAAATAATTCTTCTTACAAAGTATTTTTATTATTTTAATAAACTAACCATAGATTAAGGTCAGCTATGGCTTAACAAAAGAAGCCAGGATGTTAAGTTCATTCTCCAGAAGTAGACAGGAAGGAGAAAAAAAAAATCACTTAAATGGGGGTGGGGAGTAAGTAATTTTTAATTTTTTTTTGGTCAGGGTCTTATTTCTTTTCCTTTAAAAAATTAGTCAGTAAAATAAGTTGCTTTCTACAGAAATGCAGCAGCAGAGGAGTGTTCTATATAGGTTTTTGGTATTGTTTCAAACAGTCTGGCCGAGCTTCTGGCCTTCCTCCGCCCTCTTCAGTGCACTCAAACCCCACATGTAGTTATTGCTAAGTAGTTAAAAACATCACTCTGCATCCACCCACTTGAAGAGAGCCCCACACACGAGGCTGCTCTTACCACCCTTCTCTCTCCCAAAGAGGACTTGCTCTTAAAAACTTTTTTAAAATCACAACTTCTTAGCTGAGCTCAGTCCTCAAAAAGGAGAAAAATATGGGGGCAACAGGCAATCTCCTCTAACACTAGGATGGATGACAGATGACTATCTAGAAGAACATAAAACTTACTAGGACAAAGAATCCCCCCTTCAAGTTCCTCCCTCTCCTATTTCACTCACTGGGGTTTAAAATACCCTAACTAGGCCAGGCACACACTGCCTGACCCCTCCGGAAGGAGAATTTACCCAAGCCTGACATCTACCTAGTTCAAACCAAGATCAAAATTGCTCAATATCTCAGATTCGCACTATACTCCCAACTCCACCACCGTGTGCTTTTTTTTTCTAAAGTCAATGAACTTTGGTCTATTTTTTTCTTAGCTGACTGAGAACCTTATTTCCAGGCTCCTCCCTCAAGATTCCACCCACCTCCCACCCACACACACCAATTATTTTCCTACTTTCCCTTGGGCCCTGGGACCGGGCCGCAAGACGTTAGGACACAGTCTTCCCCTTCTGTCGTGTAGTCTCCAGTCAAACTCTGTGTGAGTAAAGGAGGTAGTACTAGCCCTGTCCTGCTCTCTCTAGTCTGCCAGCTCTCCAGCTCCCACAAACATTCCTGCACTTGCCCCATCACTACAGGGGCTGGGTCTTGATGAGCCAGAGGTGAGGTTAACGTTCTTTGTTTAGCCCCTTCCCGGCTGAGGTTCTACCATTCAGAACCTGTGCAGCAGTTCCCCACCGGGCTCCCGTTCCCGCCTCCTCAGTTCTTCCCTGTAACAGCAAGAGCAGAAGTTGTTTGTCTCGGGGTGTCCATAGAAGCTGCAGTTCGGTTGTTTGCATTTGGTCTGGGTTGGGGGAATCCCCCGGGGACCTCCAGCCCATCCATCTGGCTCAGGGGGCTCTCTGTAGCCGTTGCTATAGGAATCAGCCACACGGAACTGGGGTGGTAACAAGGCACCCCTGTGAACTCCATCTTTGCCTGGCTCCAGAGATGGGATGTTGTCCTGGTGGGGGTAGGGTCGCCCCGGAGGGTACTGTCTGGGGAAGGTGGCATATGGTGGAAGGCCGCCTACACATGGACCCCCTGCCAACTGCCTCCGGGGCTCCTGGCAGTGGACTCCACCGCCACTGGGTCGAGGGATAGTAAAGCCCCCAGGGTAACCAGTAGAGAATGCCAGTGCCTTGGACTCTGCTGGGGAGTCACTGGGCTGGTCCTCTCCACCATCTGGCTCTGGCTTTTTGGCTGGAGGAGGCCCACTAACTAACCCTCCATTCATGATCTTCCTTTCAGCTTCCTTCTGCTTCTGCTCTGCCAGGAATCTCTCCTCAGCATCTGCAAGGTAGCGCTGGATCATCTCCTCCTGATATTGGTGCCGGTGGCCCATCTTCAGGGTTCCAACAAAAATAAATTTGCCCTCCCCTTGCATTGCGACCCTCATAATGCTCAGGCTTTGCATCACCTCCTGGCTATACTTGCTCCCTCCATTGCCAACAGACTCAGACGAGGGCTTCTCCGACGCCGGCCCATCCCCAGCTGCCTCCTCCTTGCTGCCTTTCCAGCTCTTCAACGAATTGTTGTTCTTCTTTTTCTTCTCCAGTGTTTCCGCACCACTGCTCATTCCAGACCCACTCCCCAGCCCTCCAGGCTTGGGGCTCTTGCTGTGCATCAGGCCCCCCATGTTCTTCTTAAGCTTGCTACCCAGGGTTTTGCCAAAGCTGCCCAGTTTGTTAGCCACAGAGTCTGCTCTCTTCTTGTCCTTCTCTCTGTCTCGCTTTGACTTCTCCTTCTGCCTGTTGCCCTCATTGCCTGTAGAACTGCTGCCAACTGACTCCTTGTCCGATTCCCCAGACTCAGGAGTGGACCTGGGCTCGTCTCCAGCTGAGGCTGTGGGGGACTCAGGCTGGGCCAGAGGAGCCTGTAAGAGAGAACAGCATTGACTGTTACCTCATTGGGCTGGTGTGAGGAAGCTCCCACAGACATGGAACCTATCTAACAGCTTACAGGGCTTCCTGTTGCCCCTACCATAGGGACTGACCTATAAAAGACTGACAAAAAGGGGTAGTATCCTAGATAGTGTTTTGCCACCTTGAAATATGTTAGGGTCATCTGGGAAGAAGGAATGTCAGTTGAAGAGCTGCCACCATCATTCTGGCAAATAGGCAAGTCTGTGGAACCGTTTCTTGGTCAGTGTGATTGATGTAGGAGGGCCCAGTCTTCTGGGTAGGTAGTCTTGGGTTGTGTAAGAAAGTGGGAGAACAGGCTAGTGAGCAGCACTCCTCCATGGCCTCCACTTTAGTTCCTGCCCCGGCTTTCCTCAATGACGGTATCAGAACATGTCCATCAGGTAAACCCTTTCCTCTCCGAGTCACATTTTTGGTCACCATCTTTACCGCAGCCACAGGAAGCAAACTAGGACAGGTGGCAAGTGTACCATGAACTTCATCTGTGGGGTGACTATCTAGCTCCAGAGAAGGGCTACTGACATGACAAAGGTTACTCAAGAGGCCTCGGTCCTTCTCTTGGCCCGTGACACCACGGCCCAAGAATGGATACTTATCTAACTCACTCACTGACGTCCCATCTCCTTCTATAATATGGAGATCTAAAGGGGGCCTGAGTGTTTCACAGCAACAAAGCACTGTATGCATAGCCTCGGGGTCAGTAGAGGCCTTCCTTCCTTCCTTCCTTCCTTCCTTCCTTCCTTCCTTCCTTCTTCCCTTCCCTTCCCTTTTCTTTCCTTTCATTTGAGACAGGGTTTTGTTACACAATCCAGGGTAGCCTAGAACTCACAATTCCCTTGCCTCAGTTTCCCAAAAATACTGGGACTAAAGTGTTTGCTACTTTGCCTGGCTGGAAAAACATTTCTGCAGATACAAGTATGTTCATTATTACAAGTCTGTCTGTGTTAAATTCTGTTCAGAATTAATTTCAAGGAAGCCTGGGCTAACCACAAGCACCCAAGCCTGAGCACTGCTTTTATACATTCCACACTCCAGAGTTCATAGCTTTGCCTTTGTTCCTGAACTCATGACCAGGAACTCTTTGGCATTCTCTTTCTAGTACTCAAAGCAGATCTATCCACAGAGTGAGGGGCACAGATACAGAAATGGCAATCTCAAGCTAAATGTCAAGAACAAAAGAAGAAAGTTTCATAAGGAATGTAATTAGTATTACAAAGCAGAGTCTCGGGCTAGGCATGTCACTCAGTGGTGAAACACATGCCTAACAAACAGGTAGAGGTCCTGGATTCACTCTCCAGATAGATAGGGTCAAATAATAAAATAAAGTAAAAAAGAAGGCAGAGTGTGACTGGAGACAGGTGGGCCACAAGGAGGGCATGCTCTCACATCGTCATAAAGTGCACTACAACAGACTCCGCGCTGAGCCCATGGGCTGCCCTGTTTTCCCTGTCACTGGCAGCCAGGACACACAGAGGGCTATGGGTGGGGACAGCCTTCACCTGTGCGTCAGATGACAGCGGGATCCACTTCACATTCATATAGATATGCAGCAGATGTAATTTGACCTCCAGGGACAGAGTTACACTGTGAAAAGGAGGGAAGAAAATTAAACAGCTATGACTTCAAAGGCAAGCAGTCCTTTAGAAAGGACTCAGCAGTGTCCAGAGACCACATATCACACAGCAGCCACTGTCACTGCTGTGACATTACTTAGCAGAATCTGACAATCAGGTGAGGACTACAGCTTTTGGTTTTCTTTTTTGTTTTAAAAAAAGGGGCAGCCGGGCGTTGGTGGTGCACCCCTTTAATCCCAGCACTCGGGAGGCAGAGGCAGAGGCAGGCAGATCTCTGTGAGTTCGAGGCCAGCCTGGTCTACAGAGTGAGTGCCAGGATAGGCTCCAAAGCTACACAGAGAATCCCTGTCTTGAAAAACAAAACAAAAAGAAAGAAAGAAAGAAAGAAAGAAAGAAAGAAAGAAAGAAAGAAAGAAAGAAAGGAGCTCACTATGTAGTCTGTGCTGGCCCTGAACATGCAGTGATTTCCCTGAGCGCTAGGTGAGGTGTGGGCCATCATGCCCAACTCTAAGGCTTTTAAAGTACTAGACTTTAAATTCAAACCTTTTAGCCAGCTCCCAAAGTCGCAAAGGCCCCCAAAGGGAAGCACTGGGGTAAGAGGTAAGGGGCTCGAGTTTATAGCCACATCTCTCACATCTCTGCAGGCATGGAGGGGACATGCCACGGGACACTACCAGAGCACAGGAGGCAGCTCTGAGATGGGGGTGAGAAAGAACGCAGTTTCCTTGCTATCTAAATGCCAGAAAGATGAAATTTAAGAGCAGACTAGTTTGGTCACTTGTTTAAAACTCCTCTGACTTTGGCTTAGAATCAAATGGGACTTGGTTGTCTTGCTTTTCTGACCACTGTTTTGGGGATTCTGGGATGTATAGGTCAGGAACACTCACCCCACTCTAAGAAAAGAAGACAAAGCAGCTGCAAGACCCCAGTGTCCCAAGGCCCAGCCTGTCTTCCCTCTCTCCACCTTCCCAATAAACCTAGACCACAGATGTGACTGCCCTACGCTGAGCTAAGAAAGAAGGGTAGGTGCAAGGCTACTGCACGTGGAAGGGATCTCAGGTACAACGCATATGGAAAAGCTAAACTTGCCTCACCTGGCCAGTCGAACATTGTCACTGTCATCTTTGCCCCACTCCCAGCCCTTTCCTGGGTCCACAGCAAAGTGCAGGGGCAGCAGCTTATGCTCTGAATCTGTGAGCGGGATCACGGCTGGGGAGGGAAAAACATGTATCAGGAAGTCTTCCTGAGAAGGGCAGAAAGCAAATGAACATGCACTGACTTCACTAAACTCACTAAACGTGGGCCTATGACTGACTGTAGTCAATTCACCCTCAATTCTTAGAAGTGAATTAACATTAAAACCAATGGACTCCCCTTACCACCCAGTACACAATTTAGCCTATTAATCTCCTGGACTCCTACCAGTGAACCAGCCTATTTTCCACAGACAGGTGTAGAATGCAGCCCTTAGAAGGCCAGCACCTTAGTACAGACCTTTACTCTAGAACAGGGACAGACACACCTTTTTCAAACTCTTGGTAATATTGTATAGCATGGTTTAAAAACAAAAACCAAAAAACCCAAAACTGGCAGAGTCTGGACTTTCAGTTTCCTCCTTCTGAGCTATCATTTCCACTTCTGAGCAAAAATAATACAGAACAAAAACCAGATACAGACACTGGACCCTCACCTTGTTCCTTGGCACTGTCCTTCTGCTCCATGGACACAAGCGCAGAGAAGTGGGCCTGGTCATAGGCGAGCACCAGAGGGGATCGGTGGCACTGGCTAGCGGGGACCTCCAATGGGAGGTAGATCCCTCCAAACGGAATAGGGGCAAATGCTGCAGGAAATCATAAAGGTTGTTATTACTAAGGCTAGGCTCTTGCACAATTCAGTCTCTCTACCCCACTTCTCTTTTTTTAAGATTTATTTTTTATTATTTTAAAGCATGGGTATTCGGTGTCTTTGTGTGGGGCATGCACACAAGTATGTGAACGCCAGGTCGCCTGGAGAGGGAGTTACAGACAGCTGTGACTATCCAATGGAGGTATTAGAACTAATCCTGAGTCCCCTGCAAGAGCAGTTCAAGCTTTTAACTGAAGCCATCGCTCTAGCCCCTCAATCCCATTTTTGGGTTGAGCACCCCACCCCAGTTAATCCCAACAGCTTTCATTTGAATCTCCTGAGAATTTTCCTCTGTCTTCCTGCTATGTTCAGTTTCTATATTCAGGACGTCCTGGGGTAGAATACTGACTCACCTTCCCCTCCAGAGTCCCTCAGCATGGTGTCTGCTACGACCACGATGGGCCTCTTGAGCACATGAGCAAGGACAAAGACGTGGAATTCCTCCAGGCTCTCATACACCGGCTCCTCGGAACTCTCCACTCTACAGTTACAGGGGAAGAGAATGGAGGAGGCGCAGTGGAAGGGAGAGGGAGAAACAAAACAAGAGTCCTGAGACCAGTTCCAAAGTGAGGGAAGACAACACCCTGCAGATTATTTTGTGCCATGTGGTTGGCTCTACTCCCACTTTACCAATTGGGAAACCCAAGAAAAAGCTCTGGGGGTGAAATGGTGTCACAATGTGGAAGTAAGGGACTGGGGGCATAGACAGAAGCGAAGCCTCCTTGTGACTGTTTTCTGACCTCTATGCTGTGACTGCACAGGAGCCCTGGCCCCCCCATTCCCCACCGCCCCCCTCAACTTGCTGGCTAAGCAGTCTGCAGGTGATCCCCATCTCTAATAGTCACCCTTAACACTCACCTCCCACATGTCTGTATCTAAGAGTGAGATACACAAACTCACAGCTTCATCCTGCTTTCCTGAGCCACCACAACCCACACAGCATGAATGTCTTAGGAAAGAAAACCTCCAAATTCCTCCTCTTGTTCTCTTACTTAAAGGCAGCCTCACCACTACTCAGTAGCTTAACTAAAGTTTGTAAAATCTGTTCTTTTCCTTACTTGGCTTCAACTGCTCACTGGCTGGATCTTGTATCTCCTGCATATCTACCTGCCACTCTGTTTATTCCCACAGCCCTGACCCAGATTGTTTCTAAAACCTCCTCTACTCATCACCTGCCTGGGTGTCTGTGTACTCATCTGCACAATTTCACTCATGAATCTCACACTTAAACTCCAATGGTCCTCCTCCATCTCTGAACACTACTCAACACGGGGGGGGGGGGGGGTCTGTTAGAAACTCAGATGTCTGAGGTTTACCTCACTCCACCTCAGCTGGAACGTCTTGTGATACAAAAGCTCAAAACTCTGCATGTTAAGTAATCAACCCAGAGTATAACGGGGGTTAGGGACATAGCTCAGTGGTACAGGATATGCTTAGCATGCTCGAGACTCTGGAGTCAGTCCCCAACAGCAGAAAAAGAAAGAAAATGACACTAAACCCACAGGAATCCATCGCCCATCTTCAACAGTTATAAATACTTTGGCAATTTCATTTCACCTACACCTCAATCTAATTGCTTATCCCTTCCCACCTGCTGCATTATTCTAAAATAAACCCATTATTTCATCTATACATATTTTCATTTATGTGTACAAAAAGGACTCCTTTTGAAGGCAGAAGACATAGCTCAGCAATCAAGAGCAGTGACTGTTCTTCCAGAGGACCAGGGTTTAATTCCTAGCATCCACATGGCAGTTTGCAACCACCTGTAACTAGTTCCAGGGAGTCTGACTTCCTCTTCTGGCCTTTGCTGACACTGCACATGTTACAGACACAGGTGCAAGCACACATACACACACTCGTGTAGACACACACACACACCAACTAAATTTTAAAAGGACTCCTTTAAAAACAAACAACCGCAATACCTTTTAAAAACACACTTAAAAATGAAAGCATGTAGATACTGTTCATTTCCCCAATCCTCTTCTCAATGCCCACACATTGCAATTAATATGCTTTGAGTGTCCTTGTTCTGTTAAGTTTCCTGTTCCTTTTCATTTTCCTTGTAATTTATTTACTTGAGATGCTCAGCCACTTAACCTAATGTTTTCCAAAGCTTACACAGGACACAGGCTGGACTCTTCACATGGCCCAAAAGAAAGCTTAGCATGGCAAACAAATGAGAGCTGCCTGCCCCCATCAATCTCTCCGCAGCCTACTTTCCAGAGATACACTGTGCTGCTACACACCTCTGTGCCCTTGCCATGGATTCTCTCTCTCCTTCCAACACCCTTTTAGCATAGAGGTCTAGATTTGGGGCTCACTCAGTGAGAACATCTCAAAGATGACCCCTGTCCCCCCACTTAGACCCACTTACCCACCACCACAGGCTCCATTGGTACCTAGATGCATTCTGGGTTCACTTGAGGCAAGCTTGATCAATTCATTCCATTCCTTCTGCCATTCATCTTCGGTATACACCAGTCCTGACTATGAAAGATATTGTGCAGTAATGAAGACACACTGGGTAACCAGAGGTTAAGTTCTAAAAGCAATGCCCATCCCAACTCTCCCAGTGTTACGTCCACTCTCTATTCCCTTAGCATTTGGTTTACACTTGCACTCAATCAAATTTCTTCTCCTTTTCAGGGTCAAGACCCATAAAATAGGTTGGCTGGTTGATTGGTTTCTAGGCAGGGTCTCATTCTGTAGCCCTGGCTGTCCTGGAACTCCCTATGTAGATCAAGCTGGCCTGCCTTGGCTTCTGCAGTGCTGGGACTAAAGGCATGTGACACCATGTCACATCTTGTTTCTTTCTGCGACAGAATCTTGTGTATGGACATTGAACTGGCTATGTCCTGAGGCTGGCCCTGCAATGCTGGTCCTCCTCATCCATCTCCCACTGCTGGGATCACAGGCACATGCTTCCACATCTAGTAATCTCACATTTCTTAATCTATTCCTGTTCCACTGGTTTAAACCTGACTCCTACTTCTGCTCTCTACACTACTACCCATCCGCACAAGGTGCTTCACCTGCTGACTAAATTGACAGCCAATGCACTCTGGGGTTTGGGCAAAAGCGCCTTGCTTCCCTCTGGGTGATCTCTTTGCAGGCTGCAATCATATTTACTCCACTTATGTGCGCAGGACGCTAGGATCAACCCTCTCAAGCCCACAATTCCTTTTCATTTCTATGTTTATATATCCAGCTGTCTGGCAAAAACTGAAACCTATCCAAAGCGACTTTAATTCTAAATTTTAGAATTTAAAATTAAGCCCCTGTCTCTTCACATACTCATTCTTCCTATATTCTTACCTTATCAAACAGCACCCATGGCCACCCAAACACCCAGGCTAAAAGACAGGGAGTTACCTGAGAATTCTCTTCTTTCACTCATCCCACACCTGGATCTCTCTCTCTCAACAATTACTAAGTGTGAACTGCATGCACGTCTCTGGCTTTCTGAATTTTTCAGACCCATTCCTATTAGGCTATGGTATTTTTCTCCCAGCGATCAAAATCTAATGGTTTGTTTCCTGATAACAGTCATTCTAAGAACCTTAACTACCCATGCATGGTATACAAAGCCTACCTCCTGCCCCACCCCTGTCTCTGCATGGGTCTCCTCTCTATCAGAGCTGTTGCTGACAGACGCTGCCTTATACTCTGACTTTTTCCATAAGTTATTCCCACTGCCTGCAATGACCACTCCCTATGCACCTGGTAAACAAACCCTCAACTTTCATAGCAAAGCTCTCCTCTGAGGAGTTCTCTTAAGCCTACCAGCAGGTTAGCCACTCCTTCCTCAACTACTCAGTAGAACTCTACTATAGACATCATATCTGAGTCAGGTGTAGTGACGCACACCTCAGCATGTAAGAGGCAGAGGCAGGCAGATCACTGATAGTGCCAGGCCAACCAGGGCTACCAGTAAGACTGAAAAAACGAAAGAAAACAAGACACCACATCTGGTCTGTTTTGCTCTATTTCTTTAGAGGTCCATTTTCATTCTATTGCTCTACAAGAAAGAATCATGTTTTATGTAACACGCCCAGTGCCTATTATGTGATCAATCAATAAATCCATGCTAAATGAAGTTACAGTTTTTATTAAAGGATTGTGTATAGTAATACAAATAATTTGCTCTGTCTTCTTGCTTTTTGAGACAAGGTCTCACTGGGTAACTCAGTCTGGCCTTAAACCACACTAACCCTCCTGACAGATGCCTCCACATCCAGCCAAATAACTTTAAGATATACTGGCTTCAGGGGATGGGGATGAGCTTAAGTGGCAGAGTGCTTGCCTAGCGTGCAGGAAACCCTGATTTTGATCTGCAGCATCAGATAAACTGGGTGTGGTGGTACTCTCCAATAATCATGAATAGTCCTGGTGTTCAAGTGCAAGCAGGAAGATGAGGTTAAGGTCATCCTCAGCTACAAAGTAAGTTGGAGGCCAGACTGGGCTAATTGAGGAGACAGGGAAAGGGAGAGAGAGGGGGAGGGGGAAGGGGGAGGAAAAGGCTTTAGGATATGTGGTGATTTGAGAGATAAGTTTATCAGTAATTTTTATTTGGCATTAATGTTTCATTGCTCAGCTACACCCTGACAATATATACAATCACACAAGGAACATGAATGAGCAGCAGCAGAACAAATGTCATGAAGGCTACAGCTACTGTGAGAGTACCCCATGTTAATAAAAGACAAAGCAATTTGCAATTTGTGAAATATTCTTACAGATTTCATGTAAAAATAAAAAGGACAATGCAAAAGTTATATATGGAGTGCTCATGTCATTTTGATACATTTTGATATCCAGGAAGGACCTCTCTTTCCTCCTCCCCTGGCATCTATTCCTAGTGGTTTTTGGCTTTTTGAGACAGAGCTTTTTTGTGTAGCCCTGGCTGTCCTGGAACTCACTTTGTAGACCAAGCTGGCCTTGAACTCAGAGATCCGCCTGCCTCTGCTTCCTTAGTGCTGGGATCAAAGGTCTGTGCCACCACTGCCTGGCTTTTTCTTTTTTTAATATTAATTTTATTAGCTGGGTGGTGGTGGCGCACACCTTTAATCCCAGTACCCAGGAGGCAGAGGCAAGCTGATCTCTGTGAGTTTGAGACCAGCCTGGTCTACAAGAGCTAGTTCCACGACAGCCTCCAAAGCCACAGAGAAAACCCTGTGTCGAAAAACCCAGAAAAAAAAAGATTAATTTTACTGGTTCCCCTGGAACTGGCATTATGGACAGCTGTGAGCCATCGGTTCTCCTCTACAAGAACATGTACCTCTAACAGCTGAGCTACCTCTCCAGCCCCTCCGCTTCCTGTTTTAATACATACAGCCACTAGGTGGCAGACACTCCTAAACAAGTTTTACCATCAATTTCAACACAAATCAAGGAGGCCCAGGAAATGAAAACTAATTTGAGTTTTGGTATCATAGAATTCAAAGCATCTCAGATCATCACCTTCTTGTCTCTTTCCTGCTCCCAAGGTAAGGGATGAAGCCCTCAAAGTTCAAGCATGATACACCTCCAGTATGAGACTTTTACTATACCAACCAAAGGAGTGAAAGTAGCCCCTTCGGTAGCCTCTATTTTCTGTACACATGTGCCCCAGAAAGAAGGGAAGAAAACATAGGAAAGAGCTTAGGCACTTCTGGTTCTTCTGCACAAACACTTTTATAAATCTAACCCTATTTTTAAAGTAACTATAATAGAGTTAATCATCAGAATTGAGCACACTTATTTTACTTCTACTGTCATCCCACTTAATACCTGCCATGCTCTGGTGAGATCTTTCCTTGTCCATGGTGTGGTCAAAGCTGAGGTTCAGCTATGACCTACACTCAGCAACCAAGGCAGAGCTGATTACTAATTGGGTGGAATTGTAAATCATAAGCCAGTTTGGATCAAGCTCAGAAAAGGCAGCTTTCTGCAAGGCCCACCCCAGCTTTGGGTGACAATAAAGATGCCAATGGTGGCAGCAGTGCACACCTTTATCCCGTCACGCAGTGAGTTCGTGGCCAGCCTGGTCTACAGGGTAAATACCAGGACAGCCAGAGCTGTGCAGAGAAATCTCCATCTCAGAGGAGGAAGGGAAAAAAAAAGATTGTCAACTTGTGCTTTTGCCCCTATGGATTCTATCTTTGGAGCAAAAATGGTTAATCCAGGAAATGTCTATGATTCCCCGAGATCTGCCTGCCTCTGCCTCCCAAGTGCTGGGATTAAAGGTATGTGCCACCACTGCCCAGTTTTGTATGATTCTTTTTCAAAGATTTATTTTTAATCCTTTGTCTCCATTAAGTCATATAAATGTGGATGCTCACAGAAGCCAGAAGAGGGCATTAGATCCTCTGGAGCTGGAGCCACCTGATGTGGGTGTTGGGAACCAAACTCCTATCCTCTGTAAAAGCAGCAAATGTTCATAACCCCTGAGATTCTCTCCAACCCTCAGACAAACTACTCCACACCACCCTACTTGGAACGGTCTGTAACAAATGAGTTCTTTGCTTTAAAGAAACACTATACGTTGTGTGTGTGGATGTGCGTACATGCCTGTCTGGAGGCATTAAGTTGATGTCCAGTGTCTTCCCTGATTGATCTCTTTATTATGGAGACAGAATCTTACTGAACCTGCAGCTTGCTGAGCCCAGCAAATCTACTGCCCCTGCCACCTGCTCTAGAGTCAGTCCCATCTGGTCTCCTGAGTGCTGAGGTTACAAGTGATAACCAAACCTATGTGGCTTTAATGTGAGTTCTAGGAATCTGTTGGTCCTCATGCTTATGTGCCAAGAGCTATAACAGGAAACACTGAGCCCCAAAATGACATAAAACTTTATTTTAGCTGGATAGTGGTGGTGCACGCCTTTAATCCCAGCACTCGGGAGGCAGAGGCAGGTGGATCTCATGAGTTCGAGGCCAGCCTGGTCTCCAGAGTGAATGCCAGGACAGCTAAGACTACACAGAGAAACTCTGTCTCAAAAAAACAAAAACAAAACAAAAAAACCCTATTTTAGTTCTGTATTATTACCAGTTAAAATGGAACAATGAAAACTGGGGGTGGGGGAAGACATGGGAAAACAAGAAAGCCTCTGAAAAGATATTACCATATCTGATATCAGAAATAACTAGTCAAAGCATGGCCAAACAAAACAAAATACCCAAAGACAGGAACTATACAGAGAGCCCAACAGTAAACACTTGCTGTTCTTGGAAAGGATCAAGTCTAGTTCCCAACACCAACACTGGGCAGCTCACAACTGCCTGCAACTCCAGTTCCAGGAGGACCAATATTTTATTCTGTCATCAAAGGCACTTTTGTGCACATGTACATGCTCAAGCACATACATACATAAATAACACAAAGAAAAGGAAAGAAAAACTAAGGAAACAGAAACAAGGAAGCCTGTTACTCTATATGAATGTATAATGCCATTCTTACAGGAACCAGTCACCCTCTTCTATAGAGAAGCACACAGGAGGGCTGGAGAGATGGCTCAGCCGTTAAAGGCTAGGCTCACAACCAAAAATATAAGAGAAGCACACAGGAAACATACCAGGCTCTGTGGAGCATATGTCACTTTGCACTGTGTGCTTAAAGAAAGCAGCTACCTCTATAATATACACCAAAACAGGCAAGGCTGCCTTTCAGTGAAACTTTCTAACACAAACTAAGAAAACAGTTGTAATTTTCCCAATTCCAGGTGTGGAGGTGGAACATAAAAATCCATCATTACTTTCTTGCAGGCCAGAAAAGGGCAACAGATCTCATTACAGATGGTTTGTGAACCTCAATGTGGTTGCTGGGCATTGAACTCAGGACCTCTGAAAGAACAGTCAGTGCTCTTAACCGCTGAGCCATGTCTCTGGCCCCTCATCATTACTTTCTTATATAAAAGTAACCATTATACCAGCCAAATCCCTGAACAGTAATATTTAAATTCAATTTAACAAGTACCATTTTATATTCTTTAATCAAACCAAAGCTAAGTATATGAAAAACAAACTTGTAGAATATGAAAAACATTCAAGCATTTACACAAGAATTAAAAACATGGGTGGCAAGTAGTTAAGGCACATGTAATAAATAAATAAATAGTTTTTTGTTTTGTTTTGTTTTTTTTAGAATTAAAAACAAGCTGGAAATAGTGATTTACCCATATCCCAGCAATTGGGAAGCTGAGGCAGAAGGACTACTGCAAATTCAATGCCAGCCTGGACTATGTAGTAAGTTCCAGGCTAGCCTGGGTTAGAGTAAGAGCCTGTCTAAGGAGAAAAGGGAAGGGGAGGGTGAGAAGGGAAGTACAGGGAAGGGGAGGGAGGAAGGAAGGGGAGGGGAGAGAAGGGACTCAAAAGTAATCTAGAGCTGGTGAGATAGCTCAGCAGATATAGGCATTTGCCACCAAGCTTGATGATCTGAGTTTCAATCCTTGGAATCCACAGAGTGGAAGGAGAGAACCAACTCCCACAAGTTGTGCTCTGACCTTCACACACACACACACACACACACACACACACACACACACTCACTCACACACACACAGGCACACCACATACACTGTAGTAATAATGCATGTACCACCCCCAACAAATAAATGAATAAATAATCTAGCCTTATAATAAAAAACAAACTACAAAAATCCTATGAATATTATCAAAGCTCATTAAAACAAAAACAGAAAGAAAACCCTCCACTAAGAACTACTGAGTATCTGTAAAAGGCTTGACAGAAAGCACAGGTTTCTGTCGCAGGTAGAGGTTGGTGTCAGCTGATCAGAAGGTGCTTGGCCTTCAGCATCAGCTGCATTTTCCTCAATTGTCACGAGGACACAGGCAGATACAATCTTCAGCACTGGAGACTTTGGAAACAAGGTGCTCCCACCCAAGCTCACCCACCTCTTTATTCTGCTGTGTCTGCTGCCACCTCCAGCGCCTTTTCAATGCCTCCTTCTCGACACCCTTCTCCATCAGCGCATACAGAGCTTTCCTCAGCACCAGGTCTCTGTCGTGGAAACCCCACATCCCTGTGGGGAGAAAGCAGGCAAAGGGCACTTTGTCTTCATGGAGCTCCACTTACTAATCAAGCCTTTGTTTTGTGGTGACAGGAATCAAACCCAGGGCCTCAAAAAAGGCTGAGCGATATTTCCCAAGCTCCTGAGAGGAAGCTCTCCTCAGCAAATCTAACAAACCAAACACAACAGCTAGTAAGACTGGTATAGCACCACACAGCCATCAGCACCAGAGCTCATGAAATGGCTAGAAAATGGGGACCCCTTCCAAAGCTAAGAACAAATATACAGAGCTGTGAGTAGAATAAGTCACAGTGTCACAAAGGCCAACCAGAAGAATAATTAGGTATAATTTTGCCACTATACATGTATATAGCCACACAAATTTTGCTTACTATGCTCATTACTCCTAGGGCTCAGCTTAGAGTGGAGCTAAACTAAGCCTGTGCTAAAGACAGCCAGCCAAGGCAAGGCTCTCCCGGACCCCGAAGCCTTGCTGTGAACCATCCCTTCACCTGAGATCAAGAGTGCCGAGATGAAATATCCCCCACGTGCTACTCCAATCAACTGCTTTCTTTCTACAGGGGAGACTCACCAAGAGAGGCTGCATGCAGCAGGCAGTTCCCATCTCCAGTAGTTGCTAAAGGAAGCAGCCTCTGACAGGCGGAGTCCACACTGACCCACCAATTTAAACGCCCTACAGACATTGACAGTGGGAGAAAAGGAGAGAAGTGGATTAGAAAAACAGCCCAGAATAAAACTTTTTTTTTTTTTTCTTGAGACAGGGTCTTGCTACACACACACACACACACACACACACACACACACACACACACCAGGATGACTTTGAACTCATGACCCTTTTGCCTCAGCCTCCCAAATGAGATACTACATGCTTTGTATTATTGTTGTTGTTATTATTTTGAAACATGGTCTCATGTAGCTGAGACTGACCTTTGAACTCACTAAGTAGCTGAGGCTGGCCTTGAACTCCTAATACATCTGCCTCTATATCCTTGGTACTGAGATAATAGGAATATAGCATTAAACACAATCTCTGTGACTCTTTACATCTTCTTTACTTACAGTTAGAATCTGTCAAGCATGACTGGTTAGATCAGTGAACTTAAAGAAGGACAGTTTTGTCTCATGGGATCATTAGACAATGTATGAAGATATGTTTGTCACAATTGGTGGGAAGGTACATACTTCTGGCATCTGTACACAGAGACCAGAGAGAGCATCATCTTATATTCTAGATTTAGAATATAAGATATTCTTTTATTTAGAAAATAAGATAATTCTCAAGGCAGCTTGCACAACAAAGAATTATCTAGCATCAAAAGTCAATAGCGCCCAGGCTGAAACTGTTGGCTACTTTGTTTGACTCTGAATCCTTCACTCTTGCAGGAAGACCGGTAAATACAATAGCAGCAAAGCTCAGCTTAATTGAATCACCAACAAAAGAAAAACTATGCAAGGTATATGTCCTGTATCATTTACATATATGATAGCACTCAGCAGGTGTGTGGTGTGACTTTAAAGTTATAAGCAAAAAGAAAAAGTACATAAAACACCCGAGTAAACTAGACAACTACCAATCCATTATTTACAGGAGGAAATTATTTTACAAATGACACTTAAAATTTTGTTTTCTTGAGCAATTAAAAAGTCTACAAAAGGTTAAAAGGGGCTTATAATTTCACTAGCCCAGATAACTTGCTAACTTCTAAAAAGAGTTACAGTTAATATAGATGGATACAAAATGAAAAGGCTCCCTTTCTGTGCCCCCACTTCCAACCTCCAATCTTCCTTCCATTAGAACTTAAAAAAAATTTATATTGTCAGGTGTAGATTAGAAGAAAGGACATAGGACACGTAGGATTTTAGTTGGGAGGGTGGTAGGGGAGGAAGGGAGGGAGAAGGGTACTGGGATTGTCATGTAATTCAATCTTGCTTGTAATTCAAATATATAAAAAATTTTTAAAAATTATATTTATTTACATTATGTGTATGAGTGTTTTATCTGCATGTATGTCTATGTCCCATGTGAATACCTGCTGCCCTCAGAGGTCAGAAGAGGGCACTGGATCTCCAGGAACTAGAGTTATGGACAGCTGTGAGCTGACATGTGAGTACTGGAAATAAAACCTGTGTCCTCTGGAAGAGCAAGTGCTCTTAATTGCTGAACCATCTCTCTAGCCCTGCATGGCTTTTTTGAGACAGGGTCTCACTACGTAGCCATGGCTACCCTGGAGCTTGCTGTGTAGACCAGGTAGACCAGACTGGCCTCAAACTCCTAAGAGATCTGCCTGCTTCTATCTCCGGAATACTGAGATTAAATAAAGGCATACAGCACCAAGCCTGGGCTTTCAATCTCCACCACCTCCACGAGGATGTTTTAATACTTAAGTTTTTCCCAGAATTTCCAACTACCATACTGTTTTACATTGGCTGATTTTTTAAAATTACATTTCTTTAACGTGTACGTGTATAAGCAATGGCTCGAATATGCGTGTCACGGTGCCTATATGGGAGTGAGGAGGCAACCTGTGGGAGTCAGCTCCCTTCTTCCGAGATGTGGGTCCTGAGGATCAAACTCACCGTAAGCCTTGGTGGCAGATGCCTTTAATCACTGACCTATCTTGATGACCCAAATTAATTTTAATGCTAATTTAAAAAGAACCCAATTGTAAAGGTAAATAAATCTGGGGGAAAGATTCATATGAATAGATGTGTCTTTCAGTGTATCATCTACAGCCATCATCTTCTATGTTTGCAAAGGTGCTCCACAGCCATTATAATAGTCATAATTGTTCATATATTGGTTTTTGGGTATCAATTAGTAAACCCTTTACATACGTAACTGGTTTCCCTTCTACTAAACAGGAACTTTCCAAAGTGTCTAATGTTTATTCCTGCTCCTCCCCTCACAGCTGGCTAATTTTTATTCTTTATCTCAGCACATGTATCTGACTGACCCCTATCTTTGACAGCAATCAGATCAGATATTTAAACAAGAGGCTACTAATAAAAGCTGGACCCTGTTCCTGTGGTTGCAGGCAAAGACTAGAGGGGATATGACTGAAGAGGAAACACCCACTGACCTGCCTGTTCCAAGGCGACCAGCATGGACTGCTCAATGAGGTCCCTCTCTATGAAGCTCCGGAAATCTTCCTTGTACACAGTCAGATCTGGAAGCTGGAAGGCACAGATGGGCATTTCCAGGGGGTGCTCACTGCTCCCCCCACCCCCACCATTGGAGGAGACATGGGACCGGGCCAGGGAAACAATGCTGGAACTGGCGTGGGAGATGCCCCTAGACAGGCGTTTTTCTGCAATGAGAAATGGAGTCACCTTAGAATATATGCAACCCACTCTGAGAACTCTCCACAGATGAAGGTGGTTACCACTTGACAGTTTCCAGCCAAGAAAAAACTGTACCTACTTCTGAACTTCATAGTATTCTTTTCTTAGCCAAATACAAATGGGGAAATATACAAAATGGCACTTTTGTAGATTCAGTAATACCAAAAACAAAAACAAAAAAATTCATCTTTCTAACTTTGTCTGGTGTTTCCCTGACTTTCCTTCCCCTATGACATTATCTTTGACTCCCATTTTTCAACATGAGAATGAGCCATTCAGTTAGCAACTGGGTCATTTCTTTAGTAGAAAGAAGAATAAGTAAGAGAAATGGGCTTTCATTAGGCTGTATTTAGCCAAATTAATCACTCCAGTAATCCTTAGGGTCTTAGAGGGTGTAGAAAGGATCTCCATTATAGAAACGAAAATGACATGTCAAGAGATGGTGTCACACGCCTCTAATCCCAGCACTCAGGAGGCAGAGGCAGGTGGATCTCTGTGAGTTCGAGGACAACCTGATCTATAGAGAGAGTTCCAGGACAGAGAAACCCTGTCTGGAAAAACCAAAATGACAGTGTCATCAACAACATCTATATTATTTACTATAACTTTTCTTAGTATTCATATTTATCAGAAATGTACAGAGACAGTCAAATTTTAATATGCCAGAGAATAAAACACAAATGTAAACTGTGCCCCCAAATCATTTCGTTTGTTTTAAGTACACGACACCTGCAATGCCCAGCCCATACAACATTATGAGCAAAATTTGTCAGTGTAATATTACGTGTTTGCACAGCTTGAAGTACATGGGTGACTATCACAAGAGGATAGGAGCTCTAATGCTAGGCAGCTGTCCTTGTCAGGTACTGGCTGGACATGATATAAAGCAAGAGCCGTTAGTTTGGTGGAAGACAGTAAGGAATGAAAACATCCCTAAAGGAGCACACAGACTCTTCCCAATCATACAAAAGCTTAGTCCTCAGTTCAAGCAATACCTTGAATGATGTCATCCTGTCTCTGTAGGATTGGTCGAGAAGGGCGAGTGGGCTCTCTATCAGCACACCCTTTTTCGGGGGTCTTAGAGCAACTAATCCCTCCACTAAAGGGTGGGGACAGGTTCCCAGCATGGACTTGACGTAGCTGTTCAAAATCACTGAGGGCAGCACTCACATCCCAGTTTTTTCCTAACCGGAGAAAAAACAAAAAACATTATATACCCAGGGTGTTGTGAAACTGTGGAAATACATAGGAAGACCATTCTAGTCATCCTAGCACAACTAAGCAAGCTAGGTATGGATGGCAGTACAAGCTTACAATGCTGCAACTCAGGAGGCTGAGTCAGGAGGATCAGTCTGAAGCCAGTCTGGGCTACCTCAGACTCAGTTTCAAACACCTCATTATCAAAAGCAAACCTAGGAATGCTGGGCGGTGCTGATGCACGCCTTTAATCCCAGCATTCAGGAGCAAAAGCAGGTGGATCTCTGAGTTCAAGACCAGCCTGGTCTAGACATGACAGCCAGAGCTACACAGAGAAACCCTGTCTCAAAAACAAAACAAAACAAAATAAATAAATCTAGTAAGAACATACTAATGTACACTACAATTCTCCAGTATGCTGTGTGGCTGTTTCTTCCAAGTTGGGTGTGATCATCACCATCTGACACCCTCTGGCCTTCTTGGATGCTAGGCATGCACACAGCATACATGCATATGTGTCCGACACTCTCTCTCTCTCTCTCTCTCTCTCTCTCTCTCACTCACACACACACACACACACACACACACACACACACACACACACA